ATAAAATAGGGAAAAAGTTATGTTGAAATGAAATTATACTTAAGAAATGTATGTAATTTTCCACCAATGGCTGTCTCTCTGTTTGTTTCTGAATATGAAATATGTGAAAACTTTGTCACTGTCATGCTACCAGAGATAAACATTTTTAGAAAGTTTTACAGCCCTGGATAAAATGTGAACAACTTTATGGCCAAATGAAAATACAAAGAAATGTATGTAATTTTCAACCAAGGCCTTTATAGCTTTGTTCTGGTGTTATATTTTAAATCCTAAATTCTTATATTAAGTTCACCAGAATTTAACATTTCAAACTTTTATATGTTGTTACTAGCACAAGTTCCTATCAGCTGTTAGTTTACTTTGACTAAAATTCTAAATTTTAAAAATTTATGTTGATTAGATGGCGGCCATTATGGTAAAGGTGTATAACCCCAATATCTTTCCTTATGTTTCATTTGGCAGGAAAAGCCTCATGTTGTACCTGCAGTGGTGCCACCACATTATACTTTATCCGRCCAAGAAATGGAAAAAGTAAAGAAAGTTCTAAGAAGTATGTACATAATGACAAGAAAATACATGAGTTTTGATCCTTACATTTTCAATTTTTGTCTCACTTGGCGGGTTATTTCATGTTATATCGTTTATTCAATCAATGTATATCATTGCTSATGTACGTTAAATCATCAGTAAGCTAAAAGACATTCATTATTATTTCAATTGTTTTCTTTTTCTTTCCTTTCTGCCGGGTGAACTGTGACAGATATGTAGAACACGTTGTGTTGGAGTTTCACAGCATTCTATGTCTGCTCAACAAAATATTGCCTACTTTTTTGAACATGAATTTAGTTCTATGTCTCTTGAGTAAGAACAAACGCTTATGCAACCCTACATGTACCACTAGCAAACTACGCCACAAATAGTTTATACTTTTGGATACCAATCGATAGCTTTCAAGGTATTAGTGTAAAATTGCATGATCCACTGTTGAAAATTACCTAAGAGAAAGACACAGATGGCAAATATACAATTTCTGTCATTATCAACTTTTGCAATGGGCTTGAATAAAAATATTTGACTTCACTTCATTTTTTGTCATTCGCATATCACGGARCKTTCTCTATTTGCGTATGGTCCCAATGTGTATATGTGCGTTTTGGACATGCCGGGYATGAAMTAACATGACCTTTTCGCGCGCAGGGCATGARCTAACACTTTCCACATGCCGGGCATGAACTAMAGATTTTCGCGCGCAGGGCATGAACTAACATTTTCCACATGCCGGGCATGAACTAAGGATTTTCGCGCGCAGGGCATGAACTAAGGATTTTCGCGCGCAGGGCATGAACTAAGGATTTTCGCGCGTAGGGCATGAACTAACACTTTCCACATGCCGGGCATGATCCTACTTAGTTAGATCCCAGGCTCCCGCGGAAATTATTCCTCTCGGCGGACCGAGCAATTACTGCGTTTCGGGCATTGAGAATTCATCTACATGCTATATGACCGTAAATAAACGGTAGCGTCGCATCGCGCAAACGATAAAGCTCAATGGCATCTGAGTAGCATGAAAAATATCACGGCCTGCCCAGTTAGCGAGAATTTTATATTACACTTACTGTGCATGTCACAAATGCGCAAATTACMGCTTAACGGTGACTTGTATGAGGCACAATCASTGGTTAATCAATGTAGATTAGCATGAAATCGTCCTCTTGAAGGAGTTATACATAGCCATGGCATGAATTATGGCTTAAATTCATGCTTATGACAACGATTGTGAAAATTGGATCAAAATTTTTACTTTCTAACCCATTCAGATGACACCTTTAGGTAGACCTTTTCCAAAAAGCATATTAAAAGATTCCAGGGAATTTTTATTTTTGAGAAATTCGCCAAAGTAARATATTGCCGYCRCAACATRATTATCGTGTCTCGTAATCAGTCTGTACAAAGGTCGAAAACAAAGCGATGCAATGGCCTTAAAAACACTCCAATCACGCTGAAATTTTACACAAACATAGTTCATTCAATGCTTAATGAAATTAGAGAAATATTTATTTTAAAATATTACACAAATATTTTTCTGAGACTTTTTTGCACACGGTTGTGAAAATCTTTTGAAGTATGTACCCTATGTTTATCGGCAGARAAATCTTCCTGGTACCTAATTTTTCAAAAAATGAACTTGATTTTCTAATTGAAATGCTAACAAATATTATCTGTATCGAATTTCAAGCTCGAAATCGAAGTATTTCAATGTGTAATCGATCATCGATAATATTCTCCATTATCGGGTCAAAATTCAATGCCGCAGGTGTTTACGTAATGTGTAAAATTTCAATAAAAATTGAAATTCAAATCTACATTACCTTATACGCTGTCCCTTAAAACTTAAAAAAAAATCAATCTCTTTAATACGTAAAATATCGCGTTTAATTAAAATTATTCAAGTTTTTCGTAGTCTAAACCTGATATTATTGATCTATAGCAAGACGAGATAAGGATAGTTTTGATAAGTGAAATGATACGGCAGCTCTTATTATTCACACCAATAATAATCAACATTAAATGAATCTTACCAATCGATAAGAACCTCTTGACACGAGACTGGTCCTCGCCACGGCTTGTTTGATAGTCCAATCAGCACCATGACAAAGCCAAACTGAAAACAAACACTTTACCTTCTCAAGTGAGAGAATGGCTCGAAACATTTCTTATATTTACATCTTAAACGGTTTATTGAAGAAATGTCCAAGCCATTGCATTTGAAACCAACTGATAGCCTCTAAAACAGGTGTTTTTTGTAAATCATATATTAACATGGTAGTTTAGGCAAGCAATATGAACTTATATGTTGTTGTAGCTTTTGTATATCGTACTCTCTTTGTTATGTTATGGCTGATGGACTACGTGGCTCCGGATCCTGTACAAAATCAAGGTATAGTAAATGTCCAAATGTTCTTTAAAAATATCGCCTATTGAAAAGCAAGGTGGGGTCGTCAAATAGTTAAAATAGCCCAAAGATATCCCCATGCAATGTTATAACTCAGTTTATCCAATGTCAATACGCTTCGCAATGTAACATCTTACTTTTTGATTTTGATGATGTTAATTTTATTAGTTCGCGAATGGTGAATTCAAAGCTCCCAAATTAACTCTTTACGATAGAATTACAAGGATTGAATCGTTCAATGGAGCTTTTGAAAGGAGAACTTGGGAAGGTCGTTAGCACTAAGGCTCTGTTTACATGCAATATGTTGTCACTAGGTATTAAAAAGCTCTTTGCTTTAATTCCTCCAAGGGAAAAAAGCAAAAGAGTTTAGCTCTATTACCTTAGTGGCACCCTATCTCATGTAATTAACAGGGATTTAAAACTCCGCTAATCRAAGTYCTGTCACTTCAGTGAAGATCGCGTACGTGCACTCCGTACTTTTCAATCTATTTAATAAGATCACAAGGTTCCCCCTGAAGCTGTAGAGCTATTTGTTTTCTGAAGCGAGCTCCTTTATCTCATGCTGAAAAATAATTCTTAAGGCCAGTTTACACATGGGATTTTTGCAGAGCGATTCTCGTGGCGATCGTTGCGCGACCATCGCTTGATTTTCGAACATGCTTGAAAATTTGCTGCAACTTCGCGGCGATTTTCCATCGTCGAAATTGCGTATTCAACCTCTTAGTCATTTTACTTATACAGGTCCGAAGCTATTTATTCCTATGAAAACATCTACACATTTCAAGAGCAAACAATCAAATGGAGCAAAGAAGAGATCATGGTCTTACAAGACTTTTACAAAATATAAATTAAATTATCATGTCCCTTTCAAAGAAGTTCATGGAATCTCCTCACATGATGGAGACACTAAAAATGTGCTGAAAGGACCATTACTTAAACCGATGCGGCTGAGTGTTATTCCACTAAAAGACCAAATTGTCACAAAGCGGAAAAAACATTTGAGGAAAAAAGCAAACGCTGAAGAATTCAAGAAAAATCTTAAGCAATTAGAAAAGAAGAAGAGGATTTCTGATGTTGTGTACAAAACTAATAAGCTTGCCCATGCAAGAGTAAAGAAATCAATATTATCTCAAGGTTTGTTTGTAATAAAAGACGATGACTCCGACAAAAGTGAAAATGGAACAGGGGACAAGCGTACGTCGGTCAATAGATTAACCAATCATAAGCGACCATTCAAAGTCCAGATTCCCTTGGCGTTGGCYAAAGTGCTCTTCCCACAAGTCATGAATGATTATGAGGAGACAATTATTGACATATTCCCCGTAAGAAATAAAAACGGTGGGAAAACGCTAAGGCTTAAGGTGTCGCATAAGGAGCCAAAGTTCAATGAATCTGAAGCGTTGCAGGGTGCTCAGAATGATAAGAGCACTTCCAGTAGGTGTTATTCYGGGGCATCTTGTTTTGGATGCTGTAAAGAGTGCTGYCCGCAAAGTAAGTAATGCCATTACAATACTCCAGTTTCGAATTCATAGCGCAAAACCGCTGCTTTACTTGACAACAGATTCTSTTGCGCAAAGACCTGACCAAACACAAAAGAGAGCACGAGGAAATGTCGTTATTACAATAGATTTCAAAATTTGCATTTTTCACGAGTTGAGACTAACCTTATATTCCCATGAGACCTAAGGTATGAGCCTTCTGGAAATACAGGGTTAGCCTCATCAACTCGGGGAAAATGTAAATTGTTAGCGCTATTGTACAAGCAACATTTTCTCATGCTTTCTTTTGTGTTTGRTATGTTCTTTGCGTAAGAGAATCTGCTGTCAAATAAAACAGCKGTTATTCGCTTTGAATTCGAAACTGGAGTATTAAGTATCACAAATGCACTTCGGTCTTGGAATCGGAAAGCACTATGCAGTATACGGTTTTCAGTATTCAACATTTCTGAAATACTTGTATACATGAACACTTTCCCTATTGTTTTTATTCAGTTTATTTTAATGTGTGACATTCGTATCGTACAACAGGTAAATGTCCTGCAGATAAGAAACCAAAACCGTACGGTGAGTACTGATCTATCTTTTTTTTCTTTGTTTTTGTTTTGGCATGGTTTCATTTTGKCTTGTTGGGGGAGGGGGCATGTTCTCACCTATACTTCCTATACAAGGATGTTCCGTCAAATAGAGTATGGTTTTTGGCCTTCGCGTTTTTAATAGGATATACAATTTGCCTTCAATTGTTTTGAATAGGGGTGTACCTTCTATGTTTTCCATGTCTTACACAGGGTGTCAATATTAATCTAGTAGACTTTAACGTCAAAATGAAAGATCGACGGCATATATATTAAGGTCTTTTACGGGAGCACTACCTGACATGATRTCAAACTTCAAGTCTTGGATAGGGTCTATATTTTACCAATTTGTTTTGAATGAGGGTATAGAATTTCATGATTTTCCTGTATTGAACAGGGTTAGGGTTTAGACGTGCCAAATCTGGACAGAGTACCCTTCCACTGTCAATCATGAGTTTTATAAGAAGTTCTGACCGTGAGTCTCAAATAAAGAGTTGTTAAGATATTCCAACGKCCGTCATTGACTATCGTGGCATTTGTTCCTTTGATTAAATGTATAGACTGCAAAATCATATTAACTTTGAATTTTCTTGTTCTGTATCTGATGAAGGTGGCTGCAATTGTCCTCAATTTCCAGGTAAGTTATRTCCACACGGCTTGGGTTTTAGATATTATAAGGAAACTCCGTGGATACCTTTGAATTTAAGGCGCATGTGTATCGAAGAAACTTCGCCCGATTTTGTCAAATACAAAAATTTGCCATCTCTGATTTCGAACCAATCAGGAAACACACATCTTATACCTTCGAACGTAATACATAGCTCTAACATTCAGTTACATTTCTCTTAATTCCAGTTTGTCCTCCAATTTGGTGTTGTGTACCAGATACAGAATCTGAAACTGATTCTAAAAAGCCAAAGAAAATGACAGCCAAATCACCAACTACAAAGCCAACGAATCCTCCTTCGCCCAGTACTTCGCCGTCACCCCCACCAACAGATCCTCCAACTCCCTCTCCTACAACACCACCCGCTCCAAAAACAGCTCCTCCACCTCCAGTGCCTCCACCCCATCCCCCTCCCCCACCACCACCACCACCACCTCCAGCGCCTCCACCGCCACCGTCCCCTCCCCAGGCTGCTTCTCCATCACCAGCTCCTGCAGCGCAATCACCTTCTCCACAACCTCAACCACCACCATCACCACCCCCATCGCCTCAACCACCACCACCGCCATCACCACCACCACCGCCTCCACCGCCCCAACAACCTTCTTCAGGTCCTAACCCCTCACCATCACCACCCACAGCAGCCTTACCACCAATAGTACCACCTCCGTGTATAATTCCTCATGTAAAGGTAATTCTTCTCCAACAACCATCACCCCCTCCGCCTTGTGTGCCCCAGGAGGCGGGGCCGCTTATCTACGTAGCACCGAAGGAGCCAACAGCTCTTCCACACCACGAACACACAATTATACCTGACCCTCCGGTCCATCATGTTCAGCAACACGAAATAATGTCTCCACCACAAATGCACCACGTTGGACATCACGTACCTCCAGTTATTCCTCATCCCCTTCTTCATTATCCAGAGACAACACTGCATCCACCACAATGGGAGGAGCAACACAATGCTGGGTTTGATTTGAATGGTCTGCCCAACTATGATTTACAATCCCCAGTTGTAGAAAGCAATGTTTTTCGGGATGAGCCTCATCATCACCGTCACCACCATCATCACCACAATCCCATCTATGATGACCCTATTAACCCTTCTAAGTATGTCACAGATGCCGTWATCAATGGAGTCGTTGCTACACCAGGTAAAAATATCTCGGTGACGAGTTAAACGCCAATGTCGCCTTTATATTTTTGTGCTATTTTACTCCTAGCTGAAGTAAAGTCCAGGGGGGGGACTCCGGGGTAAAAGTACCGGAGATGCTCACCGGATTTCTTACGTGTAAAAATTCGTGATTGGCAACTTTTAGGGTGCCATTTTGGAGTTTCTGGAAATTTGCCAATCTCTTAGGGTGTCGGAAAAGAAGAAAAGAGCACATTTACTGATGTTAATACGTATGTATTTCAATTGTTGCAAAAGGTGACTGCATTGACCAAAGTCCAAGATGCCCAGGCTTTGCGCTACAAGGCATGTGTGACACTCCCTCTCTATTTTACCACGTTAACAAAGTACAAAAGCTATGTCAGTCATCCTGTGGAATATGYAAGGGGTAAGTGAGACAGGGACGTTGAGATAGAGGTACTGGTGAAGAGGGTTAAAATCGCCTAACTTTTCTATCTGTTTCAAATRCTGTTCATGTTTCTCTTTTACAAGCCATATGTTGTAATAAAAGAAATTTTTTCTCACAATACTTACCGGTATTATAATTAGAGCGGATTTCGTATRAGTGGGAAATGGACAGTACTGTACTGTGACCGTAATCGTAATGTAACCAAATTCTAGTGCCCCATTGGTTCACCAAAATTGTGCAGGCCAGGTCCGGTAACCGTGCGGTAACCGTGCGGTAACGGTGTCCCACTCATACGAAATCCGCTCTATTGTCCCCACTGGTAGAATACGTTACTTATATAGCAAAATGTAATGGATATGACTGTATTCGCTCTTTCTTAACGATAATGTTTGTCCCGGACTGTAATTATTAAAAATTACTCATTGATTTGTTTTATTTTCTTTAGTGGAGAAAGTGGACCAAGCATCTGGCTTAAAAGGAAAAGCAAAATATCTGCCAAAGATAACAAGCAACAACAACAGTTTAAAACTCTCTTATCGGCTGTGCTTGCAAAACGAATGAATTCTAACAAAAAGCAAGCAAACTCCTAAAATGTCAAGCATTTTGCAGCAAGTAMTTGCCTTTATTATTTTCAACTGCTATACAGTCACTCGCTTTTACGGACACCCCCGGAACCGTAATTTAGTGTCCGCAGTAACGAGAGTTACTTTCTGAGTCATTTCTTTGTATTTTTTTGCTGGGGATTCAGTATTTTACTGTCCGCAATATCGAGGTGTCCATTGTAGCTGTGTGTCCGTAAGGCGACAGTTGACTGTATATATATTCATTCAAACATTTAGTTTAGGTCTTACAATGATTAAATTGCATTTTTTTTTTCATTCGCAAACAACTTGCAAATTTTCCTAATCGCTGATCGTGTTCAAATTTTTGAGTCAATTTTTTTCTTTCTTTTCCTTTTTTTTTTTTTTTTTTTTTTTTTTTTTTTCATTGGTAGACTCATTGCATCTCCGTTATAAATAATGTTACTTTTATTTTTAAATTTTATTTTTTTGAGTTTTAATAAAATTTTCATTAACTGATTGTTTGATTTATTGTCTCCAACACCGCCTACCCTTTTGTCGGGCTTCCTGCCCCTCATTCCTTAGGTAGAGACAGGAAGCCCAAAAAGTGTGTGAGCCAGGGGAAATTATTTGAGTTGGAGACAGCAATTATTTTGAATTAAGTCTGGYATGGTATCCAGGGAATTTGACATGGTATCCATGGTTGTAAGGACTTGTTGCGCTTGGCTGCATGTTTTTTCTCTTTATATCAGATACTTGCCAAAGTTAACTTTTCTCGGGATCCCTGTGGCTTGTTGTTTCYTGTGTTTATTCCAAAGGACTGGTCGCTAAGGAATTTAGACATGGTTGTCCTAGCGATTCACTCGTTCTCTCTACAATATCTGAATGTTTTTAGCATATCGAAGCAAAAATGGCAAGTAAACTCAATCAAAAACATTCAAGCTTACTTCATAACAAGGTAAGACTATAAAAAAAGGACGCTAAATCATGCAGAAAAAGGAAGGAAACGAGAGAAAACGAAGTAACGAATAGAGTTCAAGTCGTTCTGTGGCAGAATCCAGACCCTACCTTAGCTTTGAACATCCAAATGCTCCAAGTTCTGCAATATYTTGACTAGAGATGCAAATAGCTTCTAGGTGAATTATTTGCGACCATGGCTGCGTATGAATTGACCAAAGTTGTAAGCCGTAAGCCCGTGAATTTTTGTAATGCAGTCTTTATGTTAGAATACAAAAAAAAAAAAACTCAACTGCATGTGTTTTAATTGTAAAATATGTTGAATGAAAAAGTAAACAAGGGATTAAGATTGAATTGCTCATGTGAGCCTATTTTGCATCATTAAATCAATAATTTTAGAAAGGAATATTTTGTTTGGTTGCATCTAGTTTATAACTCTCCTGAACTACAACGTCGGAATTATGTTGCACTAGTACTTCTGACAAGGTTAGTGTCGATAATTAATAGCCAGCATTATAGAACTCCTCCTTACTCCATTATAG